ACAGACATAGTTTCAATATTTTTTTAATATCTTGACCTTGATGACTTTCTTTGTTTCAGAACAGTAAATAAGGATTTATTATTTATCATTATGTTTTTGACATCACCTTTTTCTACTGCTTACTCTATAAAATCAGTGCATAGTCTCTAAACTTATAAAGCCCTGAGATAAGCAGAAATAAGCATGAGCCTTTATATTTATATGGGTATATTTGTATTTTAAAAATTATGTTTATAATGGAAAAATTATAAAATATTTGAGTTTATATTTCTCATCTTAAACTTTTTTCCTTTGTAAATGAGCAAATTAACATTGATTTTCTTAATATTTCAATCTATCATTCAAAATTAACTCTAGTTTTTGAACCCTGTAGAGAAAAAGATTCTTAACTTACAAATATGTATCACTCCTTTTTCCTATGCTCTGTGCTCTCTCTAAAGATTGTCCATTTTTATTTATAGGATTCATTACTTTGTCTTTTAATTTGTATCCCAATATCCATAGTTGAAAACTAAAATGGTTTCAACATAACTAAATATATATTTAAAAAATATTTAATTTTTTCAAACTTTGTGATTGAATTTGTTCTTGTATTTATCTTAGCACTATGGCCTATAAATGATACAATTTTCTTTTCTTAAATATTTTCCTCTATAAAATTTAAGAAATAAAATAAACTGAAGGAAAATAATGATATTTTTAAGAAAATTTGAACATATACACAAATTGATTATTCAAGTTGCTCTTAGAAGTCCATTTAAATATAGCTCCCATATATAGTTGTTTGTGTGCTTATGCAAATAAGAAACATAAGTGGAGAGAAGAGAGGGGAAAATAATAAATCTATAATATCTCAACTTCTATTTATTTTTTATTTATAAATAATTTTTCTATGTTTAATGATTGTACTGACAAGGATAATAAATGGTGGAGAAAAAATTAAAAGAAATATACATATATATTATATTATATATATATATATATATATATCAGGTTCTGCATATACTTAAGAATCATTTTTTATGCCTGAAAAATATTTATACATTTCATAGGTAAATTTCTTGATATATGACTAATTTATTCTACCAAAATATTTCACATAATATTGAGCATTTCTAGTAGTAGTCTATATTCATCCTGAGTTAATATCAGAAATCTTTGCCAAATACTTCTACCCCTATTGTCTGTAGGTAGAAGTTTATCTAAAGATTAAATTATTTTTAATTTTAATAACCTTGAAATTTCCATTTTAACTGTAATGCACTCTTTTTTTCATTTTTATTTTTTTGAGACAGTTTCACTCTGTTGCCTGGGCTAGAATGCTGTGGTGTCAGCCTAGCTCATAGCAACCTCAAACTCCTGGGCTCAAGCAATCCTATTGCCTCAGCCTTCCAAGTAGCTGGAACTACAGGCATGCATCACCATGACTGGCTAATTTTTTTTTTTTTTTTTTTTTTTTTTTGAGACAGAGTCTCACTTTGTTGCCCAGGCTAGAGTGAATGCCGTGGTGTCAGCCTGGCTCACAGCAACCTCAATCTCCGGGGCTCAGCGATCCTTCTGCCTCAGCCTCCCGAGTAGCTGGGACTACAGGCATGTGCCACCATGCCCGGCTAATTTTTTGTATATATATTTTTAGTTGGTCAATTAATTTATTTCTATTTTTGGTAGAGACGGGGTCTCGCTCAGGCTGGTTTCGAACTACTGACCTTGAGCAATCTGCCCGCCTCGGCCTCCCAAAGTGCTAGGATTACAGGCGTGAGCCACCATGCCCGGCCTTGGCTAATTTTTGATATTTATATTTTTAGTTGTCCAGCTAATTTCTTTCTTTCTCTCTCTCTCTTTTTTTTAAATAGAGACAGGGTCTCACTCTTGCTCAGGCTGGATTAACTGTAATGCACTCTTATATTGCCTAGGCTTTTCCTAGTGCCAATGCTTTTTTCTTTTCTTTTCCTATTATTTATTTATTTATTTGTTTTCCTTTTTTTAAAATTTCAGAATATTTTCTTTTTAAGGATAAGAAAAAAGGTTGGATAAATTTCAAAATCTTGACATTGCTTGATATATCAAAGGCCTCTATATACACAGAGATGCAAGGGTCTGGACATTGCTACCTAATACATCAACTTCCAGGCCATAGGAGGAAATAAAACCAAGACCTCTGGGTCCAAGGCCCAATCTGTCTGCAGAGCCCGTGCCTATTGAGGAATGAAAATAGAGTGGATAGAGGATGTCATCTACATCTTCCAACAGCCCTCAAAGTAAGGGAAGTGTAGATGTCTATGAACAATATTACTCAAAATACTGGTTTCTGTTGATAAATTTGGCTTGATTAAGCCAAAATATAATATTATTACTTCTAAAGAACCAATATGTCTTAATGAAGAAAATATCCTGAAATAATGGACATACCAATGGGATACCATTTTTTTTTTTATTCAGGTTCTTTTCTTTTGCATGACATTTTCCAGCTGGCCTGAGTAAACCAGCTGCCACAAGTTATATGGAAGGTAGGATTAGGATTTTTATAGCAAAAATAATAGAGATAAAAGTATTTGGCATTAAGTTTTTGACATTCCAAACAGGATTGTTGCCTAATACAACAGGATTTAAAGCCAGTCTCACTAACAAAAGATATCTTATAAAACTTCCATCATATAAAAGCCAAGTCCAGGAGATTCAGAGTTTCTATCACACTTGGACTAAATCTTCTCAATTTATGATGGCTAGGCCATAAATGTTTCTGCCTAGGGAAGAAGGGTTATATGATTTAAAAAACATACAATTTCTGACGCTAGGCCCTTCTTGACCTATAAAGCAAGGAAATCATGGAAGGGAGAGTAGCCATTTTTTATAGTCTTAGTTTTTCTCCTACACATTTTCCACAGTCTTGGAAAGAAGAGGAGATATTAGAAACCTATAAGAAAAAATCCAGGGGCCAGATGACATGGAACATGTGGCAGAAACCCCTCAGTAGGTGAAGTGGGGAGGCTTGTGGCTTCTTGGCAAAGCTATATATGGCCACTTTTGGCATGGACAAAGTGACAAAAATATACTATCAGCAGTGGCCCCTAGAAATGTGACACTATTGCAAAATTACTCATTTGTCCGTGGTGTTTACTTGATATACACAGAATCCATGAAGAGGGACTAAAATGCACTGAGAACACTAATAGACTAGCAGAGATCTGGGGTTGAATGAAAAGAATTTAGTGATTGATTTCTAACTACCAATTTAAAAAAACAAATAGAATAATTACACCACAGCTGGTAAAATTTCAGGGAATAACACATATATTTTAACTTGCATTTCACCAATGAAGAGTTCAGGTCAACAGAAGAAAAGTATAATTCACTCTAATAAATATGTTTAGGTGGTAGAAATTTTCCATTTCTCAATAAGGATAGTTGGATCAGAGCTGAACAGTAAAGCAGGCACAGTAGAATTTAAATGATTACACACCTCTTTCATTTTTAACAATTTTTACTTTTATTTATACTTTCTAATTTATCTTTTTTTCTTCTTCTTCCTCCTCTTGAGAGGACACTAAATAGACAAGGAAAAAACTGCAGGGAGTAAAAATTTGATACTATCATTACATAGGATGGTTTTCTCATTATAGAAGTTCTCTTCCTGTTATCAGTGCTAAAATGCCTTTCATTATGGGTATGCCTTTGAAAATTATATTAATAATTTTTAGAGGCTCCAAAGCTTCATTGGGGCTGGACACAAAGGAATGGATAATTAGTTGGTGACCCACAGGAGGGTTTTCCCTTGATGGAAATGAAGCAATTTAGCCCAAGGAAGTGTTTCAGAATTAGAATCCATTATATAACATTCCAGGAATATAAAAAAAAATGAGAGAAGCTACTGTTAAAACACAGTAGGAAATAAAATGTGTCTTCCACAAATTAGAGGAAGGTGCCATTTGTAGTCATATGGCATTATGCTAAATATACAAGGTTAAATTTAAACTAACCAAGTGTGATGGCTTGAGAGAAATAAAATCTATGATTATTTGAATTGATAAAGGACAGAATAAAGCTTATAAAAGACATAACTAGAACTAAGTATAAGCATTTTTGTTATTCTGTCATTTATACTTAGACAAATGAATTACTGAAAACCAATCTGTGAAAAAAAATAAAATATATGCAAACAAATCGACTTACCTTTGGAATTCTTAAAACTACCTTATTTAGTTTACCAAAAAAATAAAAAATGAAAGTTCAAATCTGTAAAGTATTAAAATTATACTATGGGCTCTTTTTAAAAAGCCATATTTGTCACTTCAAATATAAAGAAAATGGAATGTTCCTTATGAATAAATAACTTTTAAAGTTACATTTGTATAACTTTATAACTCCAATGTCGTCTTTAGATGATCAGCTAGGCAGCACTGTGGCAATGCATTTGAATCCTTCCTCATCACAGCCGATGAGAACACCATTCTTTTAATTTCTGACACCAAAAGTATCGGATTCATTTCTTTGTCTCACTAGCCCTTCCTCCCCATATCCACGTAGATATCTTCTTGTTTCTACTCTAAAAATATATGCAGAATTCAATCACTTCGCCTACTTAGTTGAGCCATCCTCCTCTCTCACTTAGATTAAAGCAATATATTCTTTAATGGTCTCCTTGATTCTCTTCTTGCTGTGTTACAGCTTTTTCTACACAGAGACAAAATTTTTTATTTATGATAGCCATCACTTCTTGTTACTCTCTGGCCAGAACCCTGCAACAACTCCCATTTCATTCCTAAAAGCCACACTTCTTCCAGTTACCTCCATGGAGCCCCATAATCTAACAAGCACTCTCCAAACATATGCATTTCTTTTCTACTCTTCTCCTTCATGTTGTAGAAAAGTTCATTTTAATAGGAATATAGAACAATCTTAAGTTAGTAGTATCAGATAGCAGTATTATAAAATATAAAAAGCAAAAGTTAATAGAACTAAAAAGGGGAAAAATCCCAATTAAATTGGATGTTTTTACATACCTTTCTCCATATCTGTTAAAAGAAGCAAGCAAAAAAAAAAATCAGTTATAATATAGAAAACCTAAACAACATACTTTATCAATTTGGTCTAATTGATATAGATAAAACATTACACCCAACAGCTGCAAAAAAAAAAAAAAAATGAGTTCAAGTAAATAAGGAGTGTTTAGCTAAATAAATCAGATATCTGGACATAAAACAAGTCACAACTGATTTCAAAACAACAAACATAAAGGATTATATTCCTTTATTATAGTGTAATTAGTACAGAAATAAATACCAGAGAGATCAACAGAAAATTGTCAAATATTTCCAAAATAAGCAGCATACTTTAAAATATCCAGGGGATTTACCCACCCCCCAACCTGAAATAAAAAAAAAAAATATCCAGGGGGTAAAAAAGAAATATAATAAAAAATCAATAATAATTTGAATTGAATAATTATAAAAATAGACCTAATACTTAATCTTGGAAAGTAGCTAACACAGTGCTTATTGCTCCAAATGCATATATTAGACAAGAAATGCTGACAAAGAATGACCAAAGCTTTGATCAATCTCAAAAAGCTGAAAAAGGACATTTAATCAAAAACAAATAAAGTAGGTGAAAGGTTAAAATATAGTTAAGAATAGAGCTCAATAAAAATATAAAACACATGTTCAATAGAAAAAAATCCACAAAGACAAAACTTTGTTAACATTAATAAAAAGGATAAACCTCTAGAAGACTCAAATGAGAAAAAGACAAAAAGAAAACTTACTAAATAAGAAGAAAAAGAGAACATCGGAACAGAATTGATAGACATTCACTAGATAAGACAATATATACTAACAAATTTGAAAATTTATACATAAAGCAAAATTCTCTATAAAACAGCTTTCTATAGCTGACAGAAGAGCAATAGAAAATTTGAATTGTCTATATCCATTTAAAGAATTAATGTAACATGGTTGGGAAAAAAAGAAATACATTTTTGTAAAACTTCCCATAAAAAAAAGAACAAGCACACAAACAAACAAAAATCCATCTACAGCCAGTCTCCTCGCTAAATTCTTCCAAAAATTTGAGGAAAGAATACCAATTTTAAACAACTTCTAGTGGAGAGAAAAGAGGAAACGCTCTTCAACAAGTTTTACAAGGCTAGACGAAGCCTGATGTAAAACCCCTGACAAAGACATTACTGGGAAAATTACTAGGCAATAACTCTCATGAACCTAATGCAAAAATCCTAAATAAAACATTAACAAGTTAGATAAATTTGTCTAAAAAGGATAATCCATTATGACTTGGATTCATTCCATAAATGCAAATTTGCATAACATTTGAAAATCAATTAAAGTAGTTTAATACATTAACAAAATAAATGCATTACACTATCATCTAGTAAATGTAAAAAAAAAATATTTCATAAAGTCAATACTGATTCATGAAAAAAACAAATAAAACTCCTAAACAAGCTAGGAATAGAAGGAAACTTCCTTAATCTAATAAAACATACCGACAGCAACAGCAACAACAACAACAACAACAAAACTCAAAGAAACAGTATGGGTCATTTATAAAGAAAAAAGTTGTATTTGACTCACAGTTCTTGTGGCTGAACAAAAAACCTGGAGAGGGCTTCCAGATGCTTCCACTCATGGCAGAATGTGAAGGGGAGCCAGTGTGGACAGAGGTCACAAGGTGAAAGAGAGAAGCTGGAAAGTTCCAGGCTCTTTTTAACAATCAGCTCTTGTGGAAACTAATAGAGTGAGAATTCTCCATTCATGAGGGATCCACCCCCAGAACCCAAGCACATCCCATTAGGCTCCACCCCCAACATTGGGAATCAAATTTCAACATGCAATTTGGAAGGGTCAAACAAACCAAGCTATAGCAGGAACTGAGGAAGTGTGGAATCAAGAGGGACATGCATGGGATTTCTATGCCATGGTGGTCTTCCGGTTTTTGCCATAGATGGTAGATATGTGGTTTAATATTTAATAAATTATTGTCTAAAACACGTTTGTTTCTTTTGTAAACTCCAAATTTGGTATATAAGCCCTATAAGAATCAATGTACTTTATATTTTTAATATGAGCAGCTCTATCTCCAATTTGCTTATTTGGCTGTGTAAACACTAGATAAGAGAAAGGAAATAGCATAATAAAATGATTGCAGGTAGAATATGGCTTTGTTTTTTTGTGAAAAAATGGTCAAAATATTAAAGAAAAAGTACACTGTATGTAGTACTTAATATAAATCAGTTTCATTCATTTTTAATACTCTGCTCCCGTAGACTATTTGCTCCTGTAGTCTTGTTGAAAATTGCAATAGAAATATTAAAAGTTCTTAAAATATTTAAAGAAAGTACAATTTTTGAGAATTAAAACTATGATTTCCACTGTTAACTTTTGCTTTAGAGAAGGCAACTGGGTGTTTTGTAGTTGTTTATTTTGTTGTTGTTTTTCTTTTATTTTCTCCTTATTGGAGAATTAATTTGCCATTATATCATTTAGCTTTCACATGATATGAATACAACAGTTATGTATTTTCTGCTTTTGTTCTTTCTTGGCTATCCAGGGAAAACATAATGTATTTGTCACCCAACAGTTCACAAGTATGAGTACAAATACTTGTGCTGAAATCACATGCCAGTGTTAGTTCTGCACTGTTGGTTCTCCAAATAGATTCTATTTTCAGCCTCAGAATTCTAATGTATTTCATGTAACATCAGAATGAAAATATTATGTCAAAACTTCCTCTGTAGTTGTCTGAAAGATGACTAGAGATATGGCCCGAGACCCCAGAAACTACAGTGTTGACGCAGTTAGGATGAAGACTGAATGCCCGGGAATTGCTTGTACAAGAGACAGAAGTTACCATTAGTAACAGCAGGAAGCCTCTACCTTTTTCATCTCAAATTTTCTACAAGCACTCCCTGTTGATTACAGCCACCCAGAAGCTTATAGACATGGGCAGGGATCCTCAAACTAAGGCCCGCCGGCCACATGTGGCCCCCGAGGACATTTATCATTCATCCAGCCCGCCAGGTGTTTTTGCCACCTGGCTGTCCTGCTTAGCAGCCGACTTGTTCCGGGCCCACAGTGCGCATGTGTGGAATGTGTGCTGCACTCTCCAACGGCCCTCCAATGGTCTGAGGGACAGTGAACTGGCCCCTGTTTAAAAAGTTTGAGGACCCCTGGACAGGTATCTGTAATGTAACCTGCTGAGTCAGCCTACTGGCAACACAGAACACAGCAGGGACAAGTGTGGAAAGGATCAAAGAGACGCAGAAACTTCTCAATGAAGACAACCATTTGAAGTTAAGTACATGTTTTTTTTTTTTCTCATCTTGTCATTTGTCCTCAATTTTTTATTCTGCATAGTAAATTGATTTTAATATCTCCATCTTTATTTATGTTATTATAAGCTAAAACACTCATTTGATATCATTATTCAATACCTTTTTATTTCTTTTACTGTCTTCTCAGACATTTATCTTCATGCCTTCCAATTTATATTATGACTTTTTAAAATTGTCCTTCTTTTTACTTTAGCACTTTTTTAATGCAAACCAGAAATTCAATATAGTTAAAAATGTAAGAACCCCCCTCATGAATTATGGTCATGTTCTACTTCTTAAAACATGCCCATAAAAGTATTGCATGTTACTCCAATGGTGTTTCCTCATTCCCATCTTTTTTAAAAAGCCTTATGTCAGATATGAGCTGATTTTCGATTGCATCACTGTTGTAGTTCTTCCATTTACGTCAAAACAAAGGGTCCCCTTGATGAGATGGTACACCTCAGTGACAGTCACACATAATTATTTCAATAGAAGGTTGATCTCAGAGCCTCCTTAATTAGGCTCCTGTATTCCAATGACTTCCCAGCTGTTGACATAATACCCTCCTTTACTTCTGAGAATCAGTCTTTCACAAAGGCTTGATATCAAAATTGCCTGGAGGATATTACTGGAAAATTTATCTTGGCTTCACTGGTATAGCAATGAACCTTCAGGACTATTATAGTATTGTTCCCAGATGCAAGTACTTTGTGGAGCCTCAGGCATATGGAGTTCTTAGAGTTTAGAAGTGAAATAAAGCACATAAAGCCCTCATGAAAATGGCAAATTCAAGTTACTAAATCTTCCTCTCCTAATGAATATATGGGAACACTGGGGACAAGAGGGACCCACTCTTCTGTTGAGATGCCAACTCTATTATTTCCTATTTTGTATAATTGTTCTTACAGATTTTCATAAATTTGCTGTTGTATTTTTATCTTCTACACTATACTTTTGGACATATTTCTGTCAATCAGCTACCAATCCTTCTGTGATAACCACATACCTATTTTTAAGAAGCCACATATTCCCCTTTAATGTGTGTATACTATTTTTTTCAAAATTGTATTACCTTCTTTAGCAATATATGCTGATTTGATAGCATATAATTTCTCTCTATATCCCTATTGTTTCACCGATTTGTTGTGTCTTGTTCCAAGTATATTCAAACATACTTCCCTAAGCTCTATTGTTTTTAATTATCAGATATTTTGTTCTGCATAATAAATATTTTTATGCATTATTTTTGACAGCTTAAATTTATAAATGTTTTCTGTGTAGAGTTTCTACAAACTGCATGCACATAGAAAGAATAATAAGTCTTAATTAATTTCCTTCATTAATTTTAATTGATTTCTTCATTTCCTCATGGACAATGAAGTACACTTTATTGATCATTGCTGTCATGCGATAAGGCAGTTTAGCTGAGATTGTGTTTCTTAGCAAAGTATTAAAGCAGAGCTTTATTTCTATTTAAAGATATTCTTAATTTTATAAAATTGTAATCTCTTTACTCTGTCATTTTGGGGTTGTTCTGTGCTTTCTTTATGGTTTGCTGGTTTTCTATTCTTTGCAATATTGTGGTATACTAATGGACTTCCTCTCACACACTTGCTCTTATTCTTCCTGCATTGGTAGGAAGATGAATCTAAACAAACAAACAAACAAACTTCCATTCATCAGCGTTAAATAATCCTAGTACTTCCTGTTCCAATATTCTTCATCTCTCCAATTGAAGGGCATTTACTACTCTGATATATGCCACTTATTTCGCCCTTTCCTAAAATGAAAGATTCTAAATAGGTTTGTTTGGATCCACATAAAAAGTCTAATGAAATCAAGTGTCAGCCATAACATTCACATTTATTTCATACTTTTATTAGTTGTTCAACTTCTGTTAATTCATTTTTGATATCCCAAATAAGGTGGGGTATCCCATAGTAAACCTTCTGTCAGTGCCACAAAGAACAGACGCTCCTCACTAACAAGTAAATTTTTTTCTAATAACACTCTTAAGAAAAATCTTTTATATCTTTACTTATATTCTGGGGAAAAACATATATGTACACATACACACACACACACGCACACATAGTATCTTTGGTATCACATTCATTATTAAAGCCTTACCCTCCCTTTCTTTTCTCATTCTACCACTGTCTATTTAAACTGCTCTCCTTTTAATTCCTTCTTAAATTGCTTCTTCTATTTTTTTCCATTCTTTGCTCATTATTACATTATACTGAAAATAGGCTATTTGTTCTATGAAGACTTAGCTTCTAGCCTTCTTTATAACAAGAATTAGCATATCCTGAATAACTAAAAAGATTAAAAAGGTTTTCCTTTTTATGATCATTTTTCATTATATGTATACTTTTGGTCTATTTGTACTAAATTTTTTTTCATCAGCTATTTCCCTTTGTCATATTTCCAGATATAGAGCAATTAAATTAATCTTCCCAAAAGCAAAAATTCCTTTTTATATATTTTTTGTAATTTCTAAATAGGTGATTTCTTGTTTTTTAATTGTTTTTTTTATTTTGAATATGTCTATATAAATTCAAAATATGTGTATATGCATATATAAACACACAGTCATGTGTGTACATTTGTGTATACACATGAACATGTATTTTATACACACACACACAAAATGTACACAAGATAACTATTGCAAACTATCTACTCATCCCATCTTTCTTAGGGACCCAGATTACCTCTTCAGAGTTTTCTTAGTGTCTTGGATAACTTCCAGAGATATTTTATATAACTAAATGTTTGCAATATTTTACCTAAAACAAATGGTAACAGGTTACTGGGATTGGTAAAATAATGAACCCCCAAAATATCCCCTGGAACCTGTCAATGTTTTATTACATGGCAAAAGAGATTAACAGATAGAATTAAGGTTACAGATTTATCCATAAGGATATTTTCCTGGATTACGTGGGTAGGGTCACTGCAAGTGATCACTGATATGATCACTTAAAGGGGAAAGAGAAGATAGAGTCAGAAAGGATGCTTTGGAAGACAAAGGCAGAAGATTCAATCTGAGATACACAAAATAAGAATTCCACCTGTGGTTGAAAATCTTAAATACAAGGAAGATAGCCATGAACTCAGAAATGCAATGGCCTTTAGAAGCTAGAAATGGCTCTCAGATAATAAATACCAAAGAAAAGAAGACCTCAGTTACCCAGCCTCAATTAACAAGCTGAATTCTGCCAACAACCTGAATAAACAAAGAAAACATATGTTCTCCTAGGTCTCCAGAAAAATTGCCCTGCAATATTTTGATTTTGGCCTTTTGAGATTCTAAGCAAAGACCAAGCCAAAGTGCTGATAT